GCCCATTTCAAACTGGGTTATTCATTTAGTTAATTAAAGGGGCGAATTTTGAGATGGATTAGCAGATAGGATAGGGTGTTGACCCTATCCACTCAGAGAGTCCAGATCTGAATGTGATTCATATCTAGAAACCTCCTAATGAGATTAGGGGAAAGATAATCTAATCTGCAGATAAGATAGGGGTTAATCCTTATCACCTAAAGAGAATTTTTTATCCAAATAAGATTTGGATCAGCATCTCCTAATTGGATTAGGAGCTGATCCTTTGGGGTTAAAATAAATAAGGAGCTGATCCTAATTGATGGAGGGTGATTTGACCCGACCTCCTGAGAAGGTGACACGTGGATATGACTCAGCATAAGCAACAACTCAGCATAACAGTTTGGCTGCGACTGAGTAACGAGCTCGCAAGACAGCTCGCTACATTACAGTTTGCCACAGAATGAGCTCGCTACAGCGCGACCTCGAGAACCCCAGTATGCTGAAAGGGAATACTCTAAGACAAGTCTATCCCAGCTCGCGAGCTGAGAGAACCATCTCGCTCCAATACTTAGGCAAGAAGGCTGCCCCAAAGGCAACCTCAGGCGGAATCACCTTGGGACACATCCAGGAGCTCCCTACAAGGCCGCTCGCTATGGGATAGCTCGCTGTTAAGCGACGCAGAGTTCTCAGGAAGCTTCTTATCTGACAAGACGGTACCCATCAGACTGCATCACGTCTCCTCGCTGACAGCGCTGTCCCTGCCAACCCAGCAGACTACACCCATGTCCCTCGACAGGTGGTGGCGTGTCTGTCCTTTCTGGGTATGTGTCTCTCGTCCGATTGGGCAGTACCCTACAACAGTTACCTGCGCAGCCCTGGCAAATAACGGCTGCGACAGAGAGCCAGTGGCGGTTACACCCGTTTTGACAAGAACACCTGCATTTAAAGGCCCAGGGTCAAAGGGGCGAAGGTATCTGGTATCTTGCATCTTGTATCTTGAGTTAATCTCGAACTCTCATTGATCTAGCGCTACCTGCACTCTTAGCTCTTTTTGCATTCCTTACCGCCTTCTCAAGTGTTCTAACTTAAGCATCGGAGTATTCCCGCCGGGCAAGTCCCCCAGGAATCCTTCACCGTCTTCTCCTCAGGTGTCATCTGTCGCCAAATAGGAGCCAGTCAACTGCCAGCTAGGAGTGCCTGGATTGGTCTTGGTGTCGAGTCACGTCCACGTGTTCCCTTATTATGAGGTCGGGCCAAATCACCCTCCATCATTTAGATTGGTCTTGGTGAGGAAGCAACACTGCACTATTCAGTATAAATTAAGAACAAATATCAAAATCTTTTAAATATTTAGATTTATAAAAGAAAATAACTAATATGTTGAACAAGATACCAATCTGAGTAGCATTAGAAATAGATAAAAAAGGGAACAACTTCATTTAAAATTGTGGATGATGAGAACTAGCACTAAGAGAAAAACTAATATGCTAAGGTGGTGTTTAGAATGTTTCAAAAAGAATAAGTTCCCATGAACTCAGATATTTGAAAAATGGAATATTAATTGAACTTGCAATATTGACAAACGTTGAAACTGAACTTGGAATACTAACATGTAACATGCTCAATGTATAGCTTAAAAACTTCAAGAATAAATAAAAACCATTGTAAGAAGAGTTAAAAATCTATAATTCAAGAACCACTGGCCTTATAAAATAAATATACTAAAGTAGTGTTTCCTTAAAAGAGAATTCAGAGAAATCACCTATCATGATTTATACTTATATAATTATATTCCCTTTGTTTGGTGATGACTTTGTGTTGCATTAAATTATGGTTATATTTTTTAATTTCTATAGATTGTTGTTTTTATCTTGATAGGGATTTGGACTTAGATTCTTGGAGTATTTATTTAGTGTGTTATATTTTTTTACCAACGACATTATTTGCCTTATCGTGTATTCTAAATTTGCTCTTACCTAGTTCTCTTTTTGTTTCTTAAGTGAATTATGATTATAGATGTTCAAGTATTTTATTCCATTTGTTTGTTAATTTTAACATCTTTTGTGAATTGTGATTGTAGATGCCACAACAAATTGGAAATACTCCTACCAATATTACTAAGTTTGAAGTTCACACCCCAGGCTCCGGGCTTCCAACCAAATGAATTCGATGAATGTAGTTGCTAAAAGAAAAAAAAAGTGATGAGCTTCCCTTGGTTGTTGGGGCCACTTTTCGAAATTCATCTCAGATAATGGTGAAGTAAAGGGTAAGTGCAACTACTGTGATAGAGAATTTTGTTGTGACCCTAATAAAAATGGGATAGGCTCATTAAAGAACCACATAAACATATGTAAGAAAAACCCTTATAGCTTAGAGGCAAAACAATCACAATTAAATATGCAATTGGCTTCCAAGGAGGGGGAGGGTGAAAATATTAAGAATATGAGTTCCCTTGGTTGTTGGAAGTTTGACTAAGAGGCCATTAAAAAGGGCTTATCTCAAATGCTCATTGTTGATGAGCTTCCATTCAAGTTTGTGGATGATGAGGGTTTTAAAACTTTATGACACTTTCGTGTCCTAGGTTTTAGATTCTATCTAAATGGATTATTGGTAGAGATTGTTACCAATTGTACCTAAATAAGAAATTAAAGTAAAATAATTTCCTAAAAAAATCATGCCAAAGGATTTGTCTTACCACAAACACATGGTCTTCTTTGCAAAGAATCAACTACATGTGTTTAATGACCCACTCTATTGATAATGATTGGAAATTGAATAAAAAGGTTTTTAACTTTTGTCCAATTTCTAGTCATAAAGGAGATGCCATTGGTAAGGCAGTGGAAAAATGTTTGCTTGAATGGGGGATTAATAAAGTCTTTACTGTTATAATTGACAATGTAAGTTCAAATAATGTTGCAATTTCTAATTGGGGAAATTTGAAAGTTTGAAAGAATTTGCTAGGTGGAATTTAACATACCTACTGTTGGATGCAACTCAAAAGTTTGAAAGTCTTTGGGAGGTTTGATGATCATGATCCTCATTTTAGGAGTGAACTTGAGATGGAAGATGAGATTCCTACTTATTTTGATTGGGAGAATGTTAGCAAGTTAATGTTATTTTTACAACATTTTTATGATATCACACAATGGTTTCAAGCTCCTTATATGTCACATCAAACAACTTTTTCCATGAAATTAACGTTGTTGAATGCGTTTTACAAGAATGGATAAACAATGAGGATAAAAATTTTAAGGGATATGACAAAGAGGATGAGAGGGAAGTACGATAAGTATTAGGGGAAACATTGAAAAGATGAATGCATTGATCTATATTGCAATTGTGTTAGACCCTCGACACAAATTAGAGTATGTGGAGTTTGTACTTAATGAAACTTATCAAGGTGCCAAGGGTCAAGAATTTACAAAAAGAGTCAAGGAAGCCTTGTATGAGCTGTATAATGAATACAAGAGTATGTTTGCACCTCAGAGTAGACAAACTATTGAGAATGTCAAATGTTCAATTTCAAGTGAGAGAGACAATGAACAATAATCACAAATAAAGAAGATGATGATGTCTTGATTTTAGAAGTACAAGTCAATAAGTGGAGGGTGAGATGCTAAATCAAAATTGGATAGATATCTGAATGAAGATACTGAAGAGGGATAAGGCAATGACGACTTTGATATTCTAGGATGGTGGAAAGTTAATATTCCCAGATTCTTTATACTTTCACAGATGGCTCATGATGTATTAGCAGTTCCCATTTCTATAGTTGCTTTTGAGTCCACTTTTAGCAGTAGAGGACGAGTGCTTGATGTGCTTAGGAGTTCTTTGACACTTAAGGTAGCAGAAGCACTTATATGTACTTGAGATTTGACTCGGTCAACGTAGCATGCAATTAATGTTGAAGAAGACTTAGAAGAGATTGACAAATTTGAAAATGATAATACTCTTTGTTTAAGTTTTGTATGTCATTTATAATGATCATTGTTTAGCCTTCATAAATGATTTATTGATACATGTTTTTCTTCCCTTTAAGATTTGCCAAAGAGTGCATCAGGGCAAACAATAGTGATTGATATTTGATCATTAAATTCATTCTTATGCTTATTCTTGGGTAAGTTTTTAAATTCCATACTTATGTTATATGATGGATTATTTTATTTTATTCACCTTAATTTTCTAACAAGGGGTCTTTTTTTCAAATAGATATAGCTAGTGGGAGGAGAAGTCTTTGTGAAAATGCCATAGTGCTGAAAGTTTTGGACTTTTTATTGTCTTTGAAGCTCTGAAAGTAGTTAAACAGGAGAAGTAGAAGAAAATTTTGATTATATTAGACAAATGCAAAGCTAGTTATGGATTTTTGATCTTGGGTGCTCCAAATCTTCTTTAGACTATTAGTTAATAGGGCTGCTCATCGGTTGGATATGTTTAAATGAGCATGCCTTTTTCTTATGTTGACTATTTATTGTACTGGAGACTTGAAAATTGTGGTTGAAAACAATAGACAGCTCCGTTGTATTCTAGTTGGTTAGGATACTCAGCTCTCACCCGAGAGACATGGGTCCGAGTTCCGGCAACGGAATTATATTTTGAATTTTGTCACAAAAAAAAGCTTTGAATTGCTGCTTTGGAAAAGAGGACAGACGTAAACAGCTCCGTTGTAGTCTAGTTGGTTAGGATACTCGGCTCTCACCCGAGAGACNCTTTGGAAAAGAGGACAGACGTAAACAGCTCCGTTGTAGTCTAGTTGGTTAGGATACTCGGCTCTCACCCGAGAGACCCGGGTTCGAGTCCCGGCAACGGAATTATATTTTGAATTTTGGCAGAAAAAAAATCATTAAGGTTAAAGAGGACAGCAGTAAACGACTCCGTTGTACTCTAGTTGGTTAGGATACTCGGCTCTCACCCGAGAGGCCCGGGTTCGAGTCCCGGCATCTGAATTAAATTTTTAATTTTGCCAAAAATGCATTGAATCACGATTTTAAAATTTCTCTAAAGAGGAAGAAGTAAATAGCTCCTTTGTGGTCTATGGTTAGGATACTCGGCTCTTAACCGAGAGAATCGGGTTCGAGTCCCGGCAACGGAATTAAATTTTTAATTTTGCCAAAAATGCATTCTATGGTTAGGATACTCGACTCTTAACCGAGACTCGGGTTGAATTTTGCTAGAGAAAATGCTTTAAATTACATTTGAAATATAGAGCTTAACGAGGATAAATAGACAAGTCCTTTGTAGTCTAGTTGGTTAGGATACGTTCTCACCCGAGAGACCCGGGTTCGGTCTCGGCAATGGAATTATATTTTGAATTTTGCCAAAAAATGCATTGCGCTTTGGGGAATATGGAGGATAAAGAGGACAGCAATTGTCAGCTCCGTTGTAGTCTAATTGGTTAGGATACTCGGCTCTCGCCCTAGAGACCCGGGTTCGAATCTTGGCAAAGGAATTTTAAAAAGTTTTGTAAGACATTGAATTGTTTTTTACTTTTCGTTTGTAAATAAAGTGAAAAAAATACAGATTTATGCTTCTGCTTCATCGTTTTTGTAGGAATGGCAATGGGGCGGGGGCGGGGCCAGATTTTGCATGCCCTTTACCCGATCATGAATTCAAATTCCCATCCCCATCCTCATAGGAAATGAGGATCCCTGACTTTGTCCTGCCCATCTTAGTCATTTTTACTTGTATACTTATTAATTAATTAATTTTTTATTACTTATTACTATTTTATGGCGGGGTTAAAAATCTTAACCCCATTTCCATCCCACAGAAAAAGGGGATCTCTGACTTTACCCCGCCCCCAGTCATTCTTACTTGTATACTTATTTATTTGTTTATTTAAACTTACCTAGAACTATTTTATGGTGAGCTCAAAATCTTAACCCCTTCCCTATCCCCTATCCTTGATTTTGCCCCGCCCCGCCCTAGTCATTCTTGTATATGTATTAATTTATTAATTTCTTGTTTTTTAAACTTATCTAAAAGGCTAGAACTATTTTATATTATGTAATATAATATAATATAACATATATTATCATATTAATAATTATATATTATATTTATAATATAATCCAAGTGGAGTGGCAAATACCATCCCCGCCCTAGAGTTTCGGGTTTATTCTGAACCCCGATCAATGGTATAAAATCCGCTTCAATCTGGGTAGGGCCCATGGGACGGGTGAAATTAGGCGGTTTATACGATTAAAAATTGAACAATCAAATAAATTAAAATTTTAAAAACTCAACTAAAAAAATTTAAACCGAAATTGAAAGTGGATAGTAGAAAAACCGATTTTTTTGGTTCAATTTTCAGTTATTTCAGTTAAAGCCAAATTTTAATAATATATACTTTATTATATATATTATAACATGAAATATATATTATATATTATAAAATATATATTATGAAATGAAATTTTATTATATTATATATTAATATATAAACATATAATATATTATTATATATTATATGTTATATATTATATACTATATGTTATATATAATAATAGAAAGTTAGAATAATTCAGTTAACTGAATTTCTAATTTTAGAAACTGAAACTGAAAATCGAATTAATCAAAAATCAAATTTATCGAACCGATTTAACTAAAAACCAAAAAACCCGAACCAAACAAACCAAAACCGAAATTTTCAATTCTGTTTTTTGGTTTTAACAGAATAGCGCTCACCATCTCTTCATTTTAGGGGTATTATTGTCATTTAAGAGGTTCCCACGAGGAATACAAAGCCCTAGCATGTCCAGTCATCGTATTTCTCCTAGGGTTTCTTCTATCTCACCGCTTCCCTCCGTAAACTATCAACCCACTCGGTTGCCTCTGTAACCTCGGCTGTGGAGAGCAATGGTGGATCTTCTCATTCCTTTCTCTCTACTTGTTTAAGATTTCTTGTTTTCTTTTCTTCTTTCTATTCCTGCTTACTGGTCTGAGATCTTTCTAAATGAGTTTTTCTGTACCCAAAACAGGCTTCAGAGAAGAAGCTATCGAACCCAATGCGGGAAATCAAAGTTCAAAAATTAGTCCTCAACATCTCCGTCGGTGAAAGTGGAGATCGTCTCACCAGAGCCGCGAAGGTTTCCCATATGCGTTTCTAACATTCTTAGTATGCCTCAGATCTAATTTTTTAGCCGCTTGTGTCTAAATCTATCTTTTAAATTCCAATTGTAGGTGTTGGAGCAGCTGAGTGGGCAGACCCCCGTTTTCTCAAAGGGTAAGTTTGATTTAGTCTTGCTTGAATATGCTCTGTTTATTACCAATAACAAACGCTCTGTCTACTTGTCTGTGATTTTGTTGTTGTTTGGGCTGATGGGTTGATGTCTTGACAGCTAGGTACACCGTTCGGTCTTTTGGTATAAGACGTAATGAGAAGATTGCATGTTACGTCACAGTCAGGGGTGAGAAGGCGATGCAACTTCTGGAGAGTGGGTTGAAGGTCAAGGAATACGAGCTGTTGAGGAGGAACTTCAGTGATACTGGATGCTTCGGTTTCGGTATTCAGGAGCATATCGATTTGGGTATCAAGTAAGCAGAAATTCCGTGCCTTTCCCATTAAGTTTTGCTGTTCTTTTCCAATGCTGATTAACATGAACTTGAATTAAAAGCCCATCGTTTGTGACTGTGTGTCGATTTTTTATTGGTGGTGATTTAATTGATGATCTGTAGATCGTAGGCAACGGTTCTGTCTTCTATATGAATTTGTCTTTGATATATTGGTGAACTTATACTCTGTTCAATCACTGACTAGCGAACTCAAGTAGTTTATACGAACCTTGCGTGATTAGGGAAAGTTCCCATAAGTGCTAACTTTTTATATTTTTCTGGTTTCGCTCCACCGTTTATTTTACTCTTTCATTTTGAGTTGGAATTAATTGAATGCATGGTACAGTTTAGATCTATCTGTTGGGTATTTTTTTGGTTCTATTAATTGCAATAGAGAAGTTGCTTTCGTATTATATTCTCTAGGGCATATTGATTCATTTTAGTTTCTCCCTCAAAAAGTTCCTTTGCACTTAATTTTTAACTCATGGCTTTAGGCACTCGCACTAGGTCTCTTTTTGTAGAAAGAAGACATTCTTATTTCTTTCATTTTGTAAGCACATTCTTATTTCTTAATATATGAACAATCTGTTTCTTTATTTTTATATAATAAAAACTTCAGAGGTGTTCCTTGCCTTTTCAAATGACTGTTTGCTCCATTGACGCCTGCTATTATGTCTGGTCTTTGAGGTTAATGGTGCCTAATAATGAAGTCTAGCAATTATTTTCTGTTGCATCATCTTTTCTCCACACTTCACTGTTTCAGTGATACTCGTATTTTTCCAATGGAATATTTCTTTCTTTGAGCATTTCCCATTGAGATGTTTGTAGATATGGTTTGCTATCTTTTCCTTTATTAAATTGAACTTCTATCGGGACAAATTGACCAATACATCCTGATTGCTGCACTATCAATAATTGTGGCAAATTCGTGTTTCTTAGTTCAAAACTTCAAAATACTTGTGGTTGTTATTTCCCATGTTAGGAGATTGGCTTATCTACATGTGAATTTTGCTTTCCATTTTTTCCGTAATACTCGTGTCAAGTTTGGGAAATTTTGTGATGGAAGTGGCACGGCTTGTAATAAGATTATATACTTTCGATTTTTTATGTTTTAGTATTTTTTTGTAAATTTTAAAGGGTTCTCTCAGGTTGTTTAATGAGCTTATCTAATAGCCCATGAATCTTCTATGTTGTCGAGGAAGTTTTACCTTGCCTATCAAAAAGTACCTTGTTTTGTGGACAACTGTTATATTAATTCAAAAACCTATGGTTGTTATTAATGGAATATATCTCCATAGTGTTGGATATGAGGTTGATATGGACTGGGATTGAAAATTTGGCCAGGCCAATTCATCCTTTTATCTGGTTGAAAGTCGTTATCCACCAAATGATTACTCCATGACTCCATGTTGCAAAGATAGGTGGGGGGTCACGTAGAGAAGCTACTTAATGTACCCAATTAGATCTTTTTTACCTTCAACTAGGGTCCATTGCTTGGTGTAATGGTTGGATTGGCAAGCGTCAGAACATGGGTTTGAGTCTAAGAGGCTACTTGGTTAAAAAAGATGCCAAAGGTTAGGTCTGTATCCAATCCACCCCTCCCAAGACCCAGATGACCCTTTTCTTAGATCTTTAAATATGTTCATTTCTCTAAGGTTGACGAGCATTTAGTAGCTCAGGTACAGATTTGTTTTGGTTCAAGCCTGAAATGATATGCATGCTAATTCTTCCCTGCTTGAAATGCATTTTCCTTTTCCCAGTGCGCATGTTTTCAATACCTATTCTATTTGCACATAGTTAATATATTGATTGATACTTTCTGTTTTAGGTATGATCCTTCAACCGGTATTTATGGTATGGACTTTTATGTCGTACTCGAACGACCGGGATATCGCGTTGCTCGCCGTCGTAGGTGCAAATCTCGTGTTGGGATCCAACACAGGGTCACAAAGGAGGATGCTATGAAATGGTTCCAAGTGAAATATGAAGGAGTGATCCTCAACAAGTCTCAGACAATAGTTTCTTAGGGAGATCCCCATCAATCTGGATCCCATTTTGTTTTGGCAAGGTTTGTAGACCAGGCATATTCTTTCTGTTTTATGCGAACGTTTTGATATAAATGGATCTTCCTAGTCGGTAGTTTATTAATTATTATGTCTAACAGTTTTGTGGATGACGTTCTACGATAATGGTTGTTTGCCATTAAGTTTCAATTGGCATGAAAAAATCGTGTTAGATATTATTTGTTAGAGAATGAACTTTTATATTGTTTTGCAACCCCTGGTTTACAATCTGCACCATTGGCAAATGTTTCAACTTTTAACTACAGAAGTACAAGCTTTGTAGGACTAATTACTGTCTGTTATCGTAAAAAAGTGAAACGGGGAATGATTCCGTTGCATCTCAAGCCAAAACGCTTTTGATGATGGATGAGGTTAGCCCATACAGTCTGAAGTTTGAAAATACACAAGACCCAATATTGTAACTTGTAAGGAATTCTTTTCATGTCTTGGAGCTCTGAAAGCTCCTGGACCCGATGGTCTGAAGCCCCCTCTTCTATCAAGCAGTCTATGACTAACTATTACAGTGGTTCCGAGAGGAACAAATATCACAAAAAATCTGGTCCTGATAGGCTGATACCCAAGAAGTCGCCTGAAACATCAAACTAATCAAGCCGATGGTGCTGTGCATATTTTGTACTAGACCGTTGCCACAATGCAACTCCTCCCTCCTTTTACTCGTTTCAGCCTTCTTTCTAGCCGGCAGGCAAATATGTGACAACAGCATCATTACCCAATAGGTGTACTCTGCAGACAATTGCTTTCAAAGAACTGTTCAAACTAAAAGCGCTAAAGCTGATAGGTGAGGTCCTGAATAGGTTTTTATTTTAAACACATTACATCTCATGTAAAAGCTGTTTACTTTGAAGCATGGAGAAGCATAATTTCATCCATACCTTGTCTTAAAGCCAAGTTAACTATAATAGGTGACGGGATAATCCTTCAACTTAAAAGCTTAAGCTATTAGGTGGAGTCGTATCTATTCTTCAGAGTGTTCCTCACATTAATTCCACAATTGTCTCAGCCGTATATCAGGAACTTCTTCACTACTTTATGTTTGTTTTTATTCATGAGAAGATGTTCCCAACACAAGGTGGAATGAGGCTGTAAGGAGCAAATCTCAATACTTAGATGATATTCCTAAATAGGTTTTAATTCTTTGAAAAGTATTTCTTATAATGAATCTAGAGAAAAATGTCACAAAAACTTTGCAAGATAGTTTCATAAGGGCAATGACACTGGCTTCAACTTTCAAGTCTGAAGTCTCCTTATCCATTTTCATGGTACAGGCAAGATGATCACAAGGGGGGGTAATCTTTGATTGGCAATTACATTCACCATATCTTTGTGTTTAGCACAGTGTGACTGGAGAAGAATCCTGGTATTATGGGGATAAAGAATCATTGGCTCCTTGGTCTTCTTGTCCGTTTTATGTTCAAAGGATTGGAATCAATGATAGATGCTAAGTAAAGATGATTTAGTTTTCGACCATTCCGTCAATGCCTTACTTTTGAAATGCTTCAACAGTTTGCGTACAAGTAAAACTTTTCTCCAATTGTCCCCGAGTTTGTTAAAAATAATATGAAAATGTCTTTACCGGACCAGAATAAAACTTTGGGCCTATATGGCCCCAAACCGTTTTACTCGAGCCAGATGATAGGCCCATGGCGCTCTAGCGCTAGTAGCAACCAGTAAGGTTGTTTTCGTAAAGTTTATTCATAAAATTACTAAAAGGCCCTCCATGCTTTCTTCCGTTCTCCGCCACCTGAATTCTTAATTGGCGGGCGGTGACGCGGTGTGATGTCGGTGGTCAATGTTTACTTCCTACGGTGCTGGTGCCACAGCCCTCCTTGTACAGTTGTACACTCCCTCGTCAGCCTGCGCAGCTGTGCTCCGCTACCATGGCCGGCTGGTCGGACCTTCCGGACGAACTCTTAGTTCTCATATGGAAACGGCTGAACTTGGTTGATTGTATTCGCTTCTCCGCCGTTTGCCCCTCCTGGAAATTTGCAGCAGAAGGGATGCTGAATCCTCTCGACCCTCCATCCCCCCACTCACCCTGGCTTATGCTCCCGGAAACCTACGCTGAAACTCGCAAATTCTTTAGCCTCTCAGAGTAAAAACTCTACAAGATCAAATTTCCCAAGCAGTTCTGTAACGCTGTCTGCTTTGGGTCCTTCCATGGTTGGTTGGCACTCCAGGACGAAAACTGTGATGCTCATCTCGTAAATCCTTTCTCTCCTACAGTCCCTCGAATCCGACTCCCACCCCACCCGTGGCGACTCTCCCCTATGTTTCGAACGCCCGCCGATCAGAATCCAGTGCCGTAATCGAATATATATTTTCCGACGGATTCTCCGACACCCCTGCCAACCTCCGAGGGTATTTCATACATAAAGTGGTTCTGTCCTCAAGTCCAACGTTAGCTCCGCACGACTACATAGCCATGATAACCCACGGCGAGCAAGGAGATTTGGCCTTCTGTAGAGCTGGAGATGAGTCATGGACCATTTTGAGGAGAGGCTTCCGTCCTTACGATGACATCATTTACCACAAGGAGAGATTCTACACATTGGGTAATCATGGAGGTTTAGACGCTTGGGATGTTTCTTCCTCTTCTCCCAAGAGGACTGTAATTGCACAGGTTCCGCCAGTGTTGACTGGTGGCAGAGTTATTCATAAGAGATACTTAGTGGAGTCGTCAGGCGATTTATTGTTGGTTCTGAGGCATGATTACTTCGATGATGACGCCAACAGTCCTTCCCAGCTACATAGAACAGGTGGCTTCAAGGTTTTCAAGCTAGAGGAGCGGAGCTCTATGAACCCCAGGTGGGTGGAGGTGAAAAGCATAGGTGACCGTGTGTTGTTCTTGGGTGACAACTATTCTGTTTCTATCTCTGCTCGTGAATTTCCCGAATGCAGTGCGAACTGCATCTATTTCACCGACGACAATGGACTAGATTGCTCCATAAATACAGAATGGGGAGTTCATGATTTGGGCATCTTCAACATACAAGAGAAAACCATCCAGTCATGTTACCCAACAGAATCACTGCGAATTATTGGCCGTTCGGTTTGGGTTACTCCATCTCTATAGCTTTTTTAGCTTGTTCATTTGAGTTGTGTTGCTATTTCTCCTATTTTCTTCACATCTTAAGTACTAGATGGTTGTGTGCATGCTCTCTGTTACAGAATACAGTTTTTGATTCTTAATATTGCCTTCTTGCCAGACTGGTATGTTCAATTTCTATTGCTTGATAGGCAATAAAAGAATTATAGTTTAGTTCCTTTCTGCGACAGTAATTTCCCAGTTCACATCAATGTTAAAGGGGTGTTTCTCTTTGTTAATGGTAGATTAACTCTGATATATTGTTTTAACTTTTTTAGTTCATCACTTGCAGTTACCTTTTAGTTAAGGTTAGGAGCAAATGGGTTGTTTCCCATCTGCATTCTTTCCAGTAAAATCTTGAACCTGCACGTTTGGATTGAGTACCATTGTGGTTTGAAATACTGGTTGAAAATTTCGTTTTAGATTTTCAGATTTAGGTTCAAACTGAGCTTAATGTGGATTATTTGGGTGGGTCAATGGAAATGGTTGGCTTGGTGTTGGATTGCTCAATTCTGCCCTTGTCTGCTACTTCTTGAAATCTGCAATAGCATAGATGGATTTCCTTCATCTTCCACTGTCTCACTCTCCCTGATTTATGCTCTCTGTAAGAGACACCGAAACACAAGAAGTCTTTATCCTCTCATACAAGAAGGTTTACAATATCGAACTTCCCAACGAGCTCTGCAACAATGCTTGATTGGAGCTTTCTCATGGTTGGCATTTGATGATGAGCCCCCCAATTTACAGACCTTTTTCCCTGTAGTTCTGTTTTAAGATGCAAAGTTTTCAAAGAAGGTTCTTAAAAGGATTTTCATAGGGCTGCAAATGGTGTCCGGTTGTCTGAATTTGAATATTAAGGGTGATCCGGATCCAATGTGCTTGTAATTCTATCAAATATGGATCCACCACCATCCGATCTGATATAATCCAATTTGGTGTATATATACACCAACCTGTGCATTGAACGGGGCCCTCCTCCCTGTCCCTCACCCCCTCCCTTGGTGGTGGGGCAGGTTCAAGGCGAGACCAATCCCTAAATTTTCCCTAACTGAGGCAACCACTAAAAAATAATCTAATTTGTTGACATTTTATAAATATGATTTATGGGAATTGGGGGGGGGGGTATTTTAGGAATTGGATTATGACAATTTGGGGGTATTTTATAAATGGAATTGTGGGATCCTAGGGTTATAAGAATATGAGAAAAACTTAGAGATATTTTAAAAATCAATATTAAATCTACTAATATTTTATTAATTTATCATCGGGTTTGAGGTATGCAAACCTCATCCCTTCCCTGTCCCTGATTTGGAGTAAAAATATTTTCCTCGTTTGGCGCTCGGGGTGGGACAGAGTAGGGCTCTAGTTTTACAGGGAAAATTGCCATCCATACGATTCTAATAATTTTATATAACTAATTAACTAACAATATTCTATGACAAATTTCAAAAATTAATGAAATTGTTGTTGATTAGCAAAAATGTATAGAAAATTAGTATAACAATAAATTAATGTGAATTAATGTGAATTAATGTAAATTATTTACTTTTTAAGCCTAAATTATTTACTATTAATCAATATGATGTAATTATAGTAAATTCATGTAATTATGGTAAATTATGTTAATTTTAATTTAAAGTAAAAAATTTATTGTTAATTAATGTAAAACCAAGTATTGTTGAAGTCGACCAAGTGGTCTAGACCGCTGTGGATAGATTTAATATTTTTCTAAATTATTTTATAATTGTTTATTAAAATAATAATAATGGATTGTTATTTAAATAAATATGAAACAATTTCTGGTATATTATTTTCCTAATTTAATTTTCCTAAAATTTTTAATAATTATTTAGTTGAATAGTGACAATGGCCTATTATTTAAATAGTTTTGGAGAATATTTTTTTTCGTAAATTGGTTTTATAATTTTTAACTATTATTATTTAAAAAATTATGGATTTTTAGTTAAAGAGTTTCCTTGAATTATTTGATAATTGTTAATTATAATTATTGATTTTATAGAAATTAGTAAATTATGCCAATTTGTAATATCTTTTATGAAAAATAATTGTTGTAAAAATTTAATAAAATTTTATTAAATTACACAGATTAGTATAAATTACACTAAATATTAAAAATTTGAACATTTATTAATTAACCAATGGTTAGTTTTTAGTAATGATTGGTTAGTTTTGAGTGACCAATTTCCTTACCAAACCAAATTTGTTTGGCTAGCCAAACAATCTCCAACCAGACTGAATTTCCTAGTGAACATTCTTAATTTCAGCTAAATTAATAGTCTAATCTCTAACGAATAACAATAGTTTAATCTCTAATAATTATTAAAAATTTATTGCGGAATACATAATTGCTGAAATAATATTTATAACAAAAATATAACAAATAACTAATAAAAAGCTTTAATACCTCTAAGTTAACTAATCTACTTCCACTATTTCAATAATGTTTATTTTTTCATTTATTTATATTTTATATTCTTATTAAAGCTACTATAGAATTTTTTTATTTAATCTATTCTTTTGTTTTTCAAATAATGTTTAAAATATGATTTAGTATTCAAATTTTTATATTGAAAATTTATTTAAAAATAGTAAATAAAACATACATAATACCTAGCCCCAACCCAAACGGGGCAAGTTTTCTCAAATCTTAAATAGGGATGGGGAAGAGATTGGGTGGGGATGGGCAAAATATGTTTGCTCTAAATCAGGGATGGGAGAGGGACGGGGTTTTCATATAATTCCCCAAATCCAATGGTAAATTTGTAAAATATTAATAGGTTTAATATCGACTTTTTAAAATATCTCTAAGTTTTCCTCATATTCTTATAATCTTAGGATTCCACAATTCCATTTATAAAATACCCACTGGGGATGTGGTAGGGATGGGGTCGAGTGTCTTGACTACAAGGTGGGGGATAAGGACATGGAGGGTGCCACATCCCATGCATTGCATGGGGCCCTACTAGTTATAAATACTTTGTGCTTTGGATAATTTTTTAAAGTTATAACATAATTTTGTTATTTAATCTATTTTTGTTTTTGAAATAATATATAAGATATGATTTAATTATTAATATTTTGATATTAATTTAAAGTTTTTAAAATTAGTTATTTATAACATTATTTAATTAGTTAAATAATACCATTATTTAAAATGTTAAAATATTAACTATTAATTAAATTTAATAATCCATGAAATAATAATTTATACTATTATTACATAATTTATTTATTAATTTTTTAAAATATAAAATTATTATTAATTCAAAAGTTATGAAATCTATTATAATTATTATTCTACTCTTAAGAACTTTTTCTAAAATTTATTACATAATTTCGTTATTTTAACTATTTAAAATTTAGTTATGTTAATATTTCATTATTTAAATATGTAAATAATATGTAAAATATTTAATCTTTTTTGTTACTTAAATTTTGTTTCTTTAAATTTATTATGTAATTTTAAATATTTTGTTATTTAAACAATTTTTTAGTTATATTTTTAAAATATTATTTAGTTATTAAATTGGATAGTCCACAAAATTATAATTTATATTGTTATTACATAATTTCGTTATTATTTTGTAAAATATGAAATTATTATTTAAAACATTAATATTTTAATAATACAATTATTTAAAATGATAAAATATGAACTATTTATTAAATTTAATAATGCATGAAATGATAATTTATAATATAATTACACAATTTTGTAAAATATAAAATTATTATTAATTCAAAAGTTATGAAATCTATTATACTTATTATTCTACTCTTAATATTTTTTAAAATTTATTACATAATTTCATTATTTTAACTATTTAAAATTTAATTATGTTAAATATTTCACTATTTAAATATTTAAATAATATTTGAAAATTTTAATCTTTTTTGTTATGTAAATTTTATTTCTTTAAAGTTATTATGCAATTTTAAATATTTTGTTACATAATTATTTAGCTATTTTTAATGTTTTGTTATTTAAATAATTTATATAAATATATATATTTAAAATATTATTTAGTTATTAAATTAATTGAATAATCCACAAAATTATAACTTAGATTGTTATTACATCATTTCATTATGAATTTCATAAAATTATAAAATTATTAATAATATGAATATAATTAAACCTATTTCAATTATTATTTTTTGTTTTTAAAATATTGATTAATTATTATAATGTAATTATTAATAATATGAACATAATTTTTATTTATGTTTTTATAATATTATTTAGTTATTAAATTAATTGAATAATCCCCAAAATTATAACTGAGATTGTTATTACATAATTTTATTATGAATTTCATAAAAATATAAAATTATTAATAATATGAATATAATTAAACCCATTACAATTATTTTTTGTGTTTTTAATAAATATTTTAAAGTTTTTAATATAATTCTTTTATAATATTTAAATAATTATTAAATATTTTAATTGAAATTTTCTTTAGATAGATATAGATGAAAAGTGGGGGAGAGGATAAATAGGAGTTATAGATAATTAAGGAGATAAATAGGAAATAGGGTATAAATAGAAATAATTTAGGAAAAAGTTGGTGTTAGTTTCCTAATAAAAAGGAGGGGAAAAAAGGAGATAAGCCATGTGAGGTGGCGACTCCTAGTGCTTCTAGAGGGAGTCTTGCACCGCCTCTAGAATTGCTCCCGTGCGATGTATGGGATTTCTTAAGCAAAAGCTAAATAATAGAATGGGTCATTTACTATAACACCCCCTATTGTTTCATGGATTTACTAAAATCTATCCTATAGTTTGTATTTTACTAAAACACCACTTATAATTTGCAATGGATTTAATCAATCTTCCATTAAATGACAATGGAAAATGATAGTATTAACCCTAATGTTCATTTAAATAAATTTAACCAAAAGAAAATAAAAAAAATATCATTTTTGCCCATAATAAGACACAGACAACCACTCTATTGGCTATATTTGGTCAATTTTGTTTACTGTACAAAAAAGTGTTAAGGGTATTTTTGGAATAAAAAATCATGGGCCTAATGGCAAAACAAACACTTCTTAATGAAAGTTTGATTAAGTAAATAAGTTGTAAAATATATGGGATATTTTACTAAAATGAAAACTATAAGGTTGGTTTAAGTAAATTTGTAAAATTATAAGGCGTGCTCTAGTAAATGACCCTAATAGAAACATATAAGAGTATACAATTGTTTTATATTTTCCC